AAATAAATAAATAAATAAATAAATTGTATGGCTCGGTGCCTGTAGCACAGTGGCTACAGTGCCAGCCACATATATGGAGGGAGCCAGGTTCGAACCTGGCCCAGGCCAGCTAAGCAACAATGACAAAGGCAACAAAAAATAGCCGGGCATTGTGGTGGGTGCCTATAATCCCAGCTACTTAAGCCCAAGAGTCTGAGGTTGCTGTCTACCAAGGGTGACATAGAGAGACTCTGTCTCAAAAAAATAAAAAGAAAAGAAAAAACAAAAAAACAACAACAGGGGTAGCACCTGTGGCTCAGAGGAGAAAGGCGCTGGCCCCATATGCCAAAGGTGGTGGGTTCAAACCCAGCCCCGGCCAAAAAACAACAACAAAAAAATAATAAAATTATAAGCTCAGCTTGCATATTACAGTGGTTATGGCACTGGCCACATGCACCAAGACTGGCGGGTTCGAACCCAGCCTGGGCCAGCTAAACAATGACAACTGTAACAGCCGTGTGGTGTGGTGGGTACTTGTAGTCCCAGCTACTTGGGAGGTTGAGGCAAGAGAATCGCTTAAGTCCAAGAGTTTGCTGTGAGCTGTGATGCCACAGCACTTTACCAAGGGTGACATAGTGAGACTCTTTCTCAAAAATAAATAAAATAAAAAATAAATTGTAAATTCAGAAGGAACAATTTCTAACCAAAAAATAAATTACAGAGAGAAAGATAAAAGGGAAGCCTAAGAGATTTGAGAGAGATCAACACATCACAATGTGAGGACCTTGAATGATACTGAATCAAAATAAAATAAAATAAATTAAAAAACTATGACTTGGGTGGCGCCTGTGGCTCAAAGGCGTAGGGCACCAGCCCCCTATGCCAGAGGTGGTATGTTCAAACCCAGCCCTGGCCAAAAACTGCAAAAAAAAAAAAAAACTATGACTTTAGGCCAGTGCAGTGGCTCACACTCATAACCCTAGCAATCTGAGAGGGGAAGGATTGCCTGAGTTCAAGATTTTGAGACGGATTTGAACAAGACCCTGTCTCTACCAAAAATAGAAAACTTAGTGGGGAGCTGTGGTAGGCACCTATAAGACAAGCAACTTGGGAGACTGAAACATGAATATCACTCGAGCACAGGAGTTTGAGGTTGCTATGAGCTGGGCTTATGTCATGGCACTCTAGCCTAAGACTCTGTCTCCAAGAAAAACAAAACAAAGCAAAAAAGGAAAGAAAAAGCAAAAAGTTAAAGAAAGAAAAGAATGATTTGTTGATGAAGTATTACAGTTATGTTAAAATTAAGAATACACTGGGCAGCACCTACGGCTCAGTGAGTAGGCCCCATGTATTGAAGATGGCAGGTTCAAACCCGGCCCGAGCCAAACTGCAACAAAAAAATAGCTGGGCATTGTGGCAGGAGCCTATAGTCCCAGCTACTTGGGAGGCTGAGGCAAGAGAATCACCTAAGCCCAAGAGCTGGAGGTTGCTGTGAGCTGTGACACCCCAGCACTCTACCTAGGATGACAAAGTAAGACTCTGTCTCTAAAAAAAAAGAAAAAAAAATTTAAGAATCCAGGTTGGGGGCACATCACTTAGTGAGTAAGGCGCCAGCCACATACACCGAAGCTGGTGGGTTCAAGCCTGGCCCAGGCCAGCTAAGCAACAATGACAACTGCAACAAAAAATAGCAGGGCATTGTGGTAGGCACCTGTAGTCCCAGCTACTCAGGAGGCTGAGGAAAGAGAATCACCTAAGCCCAAGAGCTGGAGGTTGCTATGAGCTGTGATGCCACAGCACTCTACTGGGGTGACATAATGAGACTCTGTCTCAAAAAAAAAGGAAAAGAATCCTGCCCAGGGCCAGATGCAGTGGCTCACGCCTATAATTGCACACTCTGGGAGGCCAAGGCAGGTGGAAACTCTGAGCTAGGTATTCAAGACCAGCCTGAGCAAGAGAAAGACCCTGTCTCTACTAAAGATAGAAAAAATTAGCCAGGCATTGTGGTACATGCCTATAGTTCCAGCTACTCAAGAGGCTAAGGCAAGAGGAGCTCTGAGTCCAAGAGTTTGAGGTTGCTGTGAGCTATAATGACACCATGGCACTCTACCAGAGAGACCAAGTGAGACTGTCTC